AAGTTCAAAGTAAATCCTTTAATACAATATAACTTGTTTCAAAAACACTCATGTCAGGTAGAGATGAAACAATCGACAGTTGAAAGGTCACTTGACATTTTCTGCTAAATGTTCCCACTGCGGCATTATAGCTCCAGCACTCAAGGTGTGTAAATAAAAACCGAGCCTCAAATCAAAAGAAAACATGTACAAGCATGTGCATCAGGTCATGGCAGGATGATAATGGCTTGCCTATATGTATATGTTACAAGCAAACAGGAAAGAAATTAATGGTGCAATAAAAAAAAAACATTTCAACAAGGAGGCGACATGACACACATAAGCATCTTGGTAGTCTGCAAAGGGCACCTGACATTCTATGCCAAAACTCTCCCTGCAACACCACAACTCCCACAATTTCGAGCCTGCCCTTTAGCACGCGAAGTGGAATCTCACCAAATGAAACATATGCAGAAGCATGTGCATCAGGTCATGGCAAGGTGACAATGGCTTCCCCTGATATGTTTCAAGTTAACAGGAGTACATATAATTAATGCTGCAATACAAAACTATTTCAATCGTGGTATCTTAGTTAAAAGTGGAACCTCATCAAATGAAACATACATGAACCCGTCATCAACATGAAGCTGTACTCTGGACCATGGACCGCTCCGTGGTGGCTTGCAAGTCTTATTACGCGGTTTGCCAAGATAAGTGCTTCGACCGGATGCTGTTCTTAGGTCTAGTGCTACCCCCTGCACAAAGTGTGGAAGCTCATCCTCCCCCTTTCTGCAGAGAGTAGAGGAGATCTGAGAATGGTGTTTGATCCAAGCGCTTAATCAAGGTGAGGTGCGCGATAAGACTGGCACGCCTTTAGGGCCACCGCGTCATGGCGCCAATAGCACAGAGCGGTCGACAGTTCAGTATTCACCTTCATATTGATGACCGGGTGTACACGCTTGTGCATCAGATCTTGCCACGTACAAATGAACACATCGCTACCTCACACGGATCACTTCACATTATCTGTTAGAACTCTCATTGCCACGCTGCGACTCCCGCATTTTGCGCTTGGCTTCTTGCACGCAGACAGGTTAAGTTTCCGCAGATAAAAGCGGAGCCTCACCAAAAGGAACATGTGTACAATCTTTTGTGCCAGGCCGTGGCAGGTTGGCAATGGTTTCCCGAGATATGTGGCAAGCACCATAGTAGTCAACTTGTCAATGCTGATGTTCAGGATCTTTTTTTCGTTCACTCTGAATGTGTTCTCTGCATGCTGCAGAAGTTCAAGCACGTTGCGAGCAGGTGTGAACAGTGGGTTGGCTTTGTTTGGGGTGTATGATTTAAGCTTAATCAGGCTAGTGTTTGATGTTGCGGGTGCTTCTTTCAAGAATGAAGTGCACTCTTCACAGAGTTTGTGTTTTCTCACAATGGCTCGTGAGGTGTAACCAGCAAGGTAAGTCATGGACTCCTGCTCACTTGCACTCAATACTACTTCTGGCAGGAAGTGAGGGTCAAAGACTTCCTCCTCCTGTATGGGCACTGGTGAGGACTGTAAAAAGTCTGTAAGATCAACGCTATCATCAATCGTGTAGTTACCACGACGACTAGGAGAGAAGAACTGTGACATAGCAATCAATCGCAGTGTTAACTTAAACTCCAGTGGTCGAGGAACTGGATGCTTGTTTCGAACACACGAAAACAAGTTCTCAAGAGCATCCTGGCTGACGCGGCTCAGAAGCACGAATCTAAAGCCATGCTGTGACAAGAGCTTCTCCTGCAACAACAAGGCACTCTGAGTCGAAATAATAACTCCCGCCTGTACAGGTTTGAAACAAACATTCTGACCTGGTGCTCGAATGAACAGCCGTCTAAACATACTCATGAACATCCTAAGGAATGTCACTGCATCTTCATGCTCATTTTCCTTTGCATTACTCATGGCGACACCGAAGCTTCTGGATTTCATCAATGAAAACCAGCGGTCTACCATCTCCAAGAACCAAGCTGTTGTCAAGGCCTCACGTGGGAGCTGCCCCATCTGTACAAACAACCTGATTGCTGAAGCCACAGCACGATTCAAAACTGCCACTGCACTGGCAACATTCATTTTCTCAAAATGGTGTGTTTCCAAGTACTTTTCCTTTAGATGCGGTGCAACTTTAAGGTCTTGACGGGCATCAATTGCAGCCAGCTCCTTGATGTGTGCGACAGAGACCTGTAAAAGATTTAGTTCTAGTGATGAACTGTTACATTCCCTCTTTTTTGTTTTCAAACGAACTGAATGATGATGTCTATCGTCTATTTCAGTGGTTCTGAAATGAGGGTCCGCGTACCCTTTTGGGTCTGCGAAGGCATTCTAAGGGCCCGCGAAGCCCTGCCTCATCACTCAAGCCCGGCAATTTAGATTAAGAAGAAACATTCCGATTTTTGGATGAGTTTTCTCGTGTGTGTCAATGAGAGAAGTCTACTTCATACTAGCGCTTAGTTATATTCACTTAATAAATAATTATCATAATTAGCTCCCTTACCTATATCTATTTATTAAATAATTATCATAACTGACCTTATATTTGCCTTCCCTCGCCACATATGGGATCCTCCATCACCTCCGTCGATCCACAAGGGATCCGCGAAACATCAGTGGTTGAGAACCACTGGTCTATCTGATTGCAATTTGAAACTTCCGGTCAGTAGTTATTTTCTATTGCTTATGCATCTTTCCTCCACTATAGTCACGCAATTATTCGCAAAGTAGAAGTAACCTTGCCTCGAAAAAGGCAAATATATATTTTGTCTAGAAAATGATGCAAGATGTGTTATTCACCACTAGACCAGAAGCGCTTTTGGGGTATTCCTTTTGCGTGCTACGCTTAAACTTGCCCAAGAAGGAAAGAATAGTAAAAAACACAGACCTCATTTGTTGGCAGACTGTGCTTCTCGACGATGTCTCTTGGCAAAAATATTGTTTGTTCACGTATGAGGTGACCCCGGACGTTTTTTAACACATGTGGGGCATCGGCAAAAAACAAGAGGTCTCTGTTCTCTCCCTCAACAGCACACGGATGGGGGCAGGAGACAATGGGATCACTGTGCCGAGTTGCCGACACTCCACACTCTTTCCACAAACCCTGGTTGCAGGCGCCCATGTCCGAAACGATTCCCTCTACCACAAGACCAATTTTCTCGCACTCCACAATAATCTCAAAGACAATCTTTTTCAGGTCGTCCGATGACACAGAACTGCCTGAAATGGAAGAGAGTTATTAGATACCCCATTGACAAATTACACTTTCATAACTATGGTAATGGTAAATGACATGATTATGGTAATAAAGAGACATAAAAATCTATCCATTACCGTAAATTGACACATTTACCTGTGAAATGGTAACCAATGACTTGTTTCCACCTTGTGGATAGACCGGCCAGCATAAACACCAGCCCATGCGTTGCAAAGGTTACGATGCCATCATTGCTCGGCAGCTTGCAGCCTTTCAAAGTTGTTTGCCCAATCACGGTCTTTGTTGTGTCCGCGGACCCTCATTTCAGAGATGCAGCTGACACCAGGCCAGGTGTCAGCTGCATCTCATCCATGAGCAGTGTCGCTCTTGGGGACCCATAGTTGCAACTTTGCACTCCACTGCAGGAAGAAGTTCTCGAAGAATCCCTGCGTAAAAGGAAAAGAAAACCTGTCTGCATTTTTGGTAATGAAGCCAAACGCGTTTGAATACATTTAAATTTTTTTGTTTATACCTGCCTGAAACTTGACTCCTTCTATCCTTTTCTGGAGAGTTCGCTCGGCTGGCAAGGGCAGGAATCCTTCTCGAACGAAGTTGTAGCCTCTGTGTCCACAGGCAAGACGGAGTTGCAAGGCTCGTTTGGTAGTCTCCCCAGACCATCTGTTGCCTCTCATATCTTTTTGTTGCATACAGAGGATCTGGTCGTCAGCAAGATGCCCTCTACAGTCATCTGAAGGATGTAAAAAGAAGTTCTACAACAATATGACGTGTTCCGCTAGTTGGTTTGAGGTGAACATCTTGGGAAGAAACAGCAGCAAAGAAACTTGGACAGCAGTAAAGGAACAAACACGACAGGATGGCGCTGAACTAATAACTGTTGTTTATTACGCAAAAGGGGGAAGGAAAAAAACAAGAAGCATCTTAATCATATAAAAATATATAGACACACACAAAAATGCCAGCCAAGCAGCATGTTATGTCACGATAGGCCAAATCAGTGGCTACGTAATACCCGTCATAGTCAATCGCAGGTACCCAAAGGTTTTTCAGGTAACGCCACTGACGGTTTGGTGACGCATCTCCTGCCAACTTCCGAGATGAAAAAGGCCTCGGAAATTTCTCTTGTCACTCTGCTGCCTAAATGACAGACTTAGCATTTGTATTCACTCAGGGCCACAGTTGGGGGGCCGCTACCTTTACACTGCAGGGGCTGCAAGTGCCAGCCTAATTTTAGTTAAGTCACTGTTTTGGATAGACATACAGGCAGAGTGACAACGGAAATTAGCAAGTCTTTTTATCTCGGAACTTGGCAGGTCAGCGAACCGTCAGTGGCGTTATCTGAAAAAGAATTCAAGTACCCGCGATTGACTATAACGGGCATTACGTAGCCACTGGTTTGGTTTATCGTGACATAATATGCTGCTTGTTGGCGTGTGTGTGTGTCTATTTTTTCTGATTAAGATGCTTCCTGTTTTCTTCCTTTCCCTTTTCGTATAATAAAGAACAGTTGTTAGTTCAGTGCCGTCCTGTCGTGTTTGTTCCTTTACTCTTGTCTAAGTTTGTTTGCTGCTATTTCTTCCCATGTGCTACAATTAGAATTTTTGTACTAAAGTTTAATAAACATTTATTGGCTGCCTTTTGTTTTGCAATCATATACAAGACTCAATACTTTAATACCTTTAAGATTCTGAAGCTCTCGTGACAGCTTGAGATATTTTTTGTTGGCCAGGTCAAGCTTACGACGGAGTTCAGATATTGTTTCTTCGTGATGTTGTTCATGGCAGTTTGCAGCAATATCTCTAGACACCATGGGATCTGCAAAAACATACATGATTTGAATAAAACGCAATATGAAAAAAATAATGTGAATCCCACCCCATGTGGGATTTGGTGTAAAAGCAAAGCTTTCTTTGATGTACGATTGTCGCCCCTTGGACGGTGATTTTGATGTCGTTCAGAGACTGGTGTAAGACGACACTAGTGATGCGTTATATATACATATATTGGAAACATCAACATTTGTGTTTATATCTAACAAAACCCAGGGTCTATCGCACACACAGCAAACAAAATAAAACTCGTCCTGCACGAAATGTTTTTTAAAGTACTCTTGTGCACTCCTAAACGACGCTCTCCTCTTCCGCTGCTGTCTCACTGCCGCCACCCTGTTCCATTTCCCGTTTATGAGCCAGCATGCGCTCACGTTCGAAACCATGCTTCGCCTCATACCGAAGACGTTCTTCCTGCGCTCGACACTTCTTCCTAGCCTGCATTTCCTTGGCAGTGAACACACGGTTCGGCTCCATTTTTCCGTTTGCAATGAAGTTGGCGCCTTGACTTGGTTTATACTGCCCTTGGTTTCTATGCAATATGACGTGTTCTGAACATCTGGGCCGGCTTGCTCAAACCAGCGTCTGAGCCTCTTAAGTTGCGACGTTCTCTCTTGCTCCCTGCGTATAGGTCTACATTGCTCAGGTTGTCAGGCCACAAAAAATACTCAATTTCTCCGTTCACGATTTTAAGTCAAGCTCAATGCAGAGAGGTTCTGCGTGAATCTCCAATGAAGACTCTCTTCAGTTTGTCCACATTCGTCTCCGTGCTGCCGGCTAGAACCATTTGGCTGAGTTTAACTAGTATCATTCTGTCTGTCAGAAAGAAGCTCGATTTCGTAAACAGATAAGTCACATGATCGAGGTGTGCGAGTTAGCTGAAAATTACTCTCGTGGCAGTCAGAGGCGGGATAGTCTGTTGGCATGGCATCTGGAAAAGTTATTGCAGGGAGAGTAAGAACACAAACAAAAGTCTTTCCAACCTTCCAACGTGGCAGTGTTGCTCGAAGTCTCAACTGTGCAGCCCGAGAAAGCTCCATCAGGGTTTCCTGCACAAAGTGTGCGTGTTAATGTGTTGCACAGAAGATGGGAAGCAAACAGGATTACACATAAACGGTGTTGGCCCCCCCTAAATCATGACAGCTATTTGATGTGCCCAGAAACTGTGAAGGCAAACTTACTTTCACTGTAATCCGCTGCGCTTCCTGGGCTCAAGGTCTCGTGGCAGTCAGAGGCGTGAAAGTCTGTCGACATGGCATCTGGAAAGGTTATTGCAGGGAGAGTCAGTTGCCAACACAGCTCAACAAAAGAGCACAGCGCCCTCCTAACCTTGCAACACGGCACTGTAGCTCGGAGTCTCAATTATGCAGCCCGAGAGAGCTCTGTCAGGGTTCCCTGCGCAAAGTGTGCGTGTTAATGTTTTGCACAGAAGATGGGAAGCAAACAGGATTACACATAAACGGTGTCAGGCCCCCCCTAAATCACGACAGTTATTTGATGTGCGGAGAAACTGTGGAGGCAGACTTACTTTCACTGTAACCCGCTGCGCTTCCTGGGCTCAAGGTCTCGTGGCAGTCAGAGGGCTGAAAGTCTGTCGACATGGAATCTGGAAAGGTTATTGCAGGGAGAGTCAGTTGCCAACATAGCTCAACAAAAGAGCACAGCGCCCTCCTAACCTTGCAACACGGCACTGTCGCTCGGAGTCTCAATTGTGCAGCCCGAGAGAGCTTTGTCAGGGCTCCCTGCGCAAAGTGTGCATGTTAATGCTTTGCACAGAAGATGGGAAGCAAACAGGATTACACATAAACGGTGTTGGGCCCCCCTCAATCATGACAGCTATTTGATGTGCGGAGAAACTGTGGAGGCCCACTTACTTTCACTGTAACCCGCTGCGCTTCCTGGGCTCAAGGTCTCGTGGCAGTCAGAGGCGTGAGACTCTGTCGGCATGGCGCCTGGAAAGGTTCTTGCAGGGAGAGAAAAAACACAAACAAAAGAACAGAGTGCCTTCCCAACCTTCCAACGTGACAGTGTTGCTCGGAGTCTCAACTGTGCAGCCCGAGAAAGCTCCTTCAGGGTTTCTTGCGCAAAGTGTGCGTGTTAATGTGTTGCACAGAAGATGGGAAGCAAACAGGATTACACATAAACGGTGTTGGGCCCCCCTCAATCATGACAGCTATTTGATGTGCGGAGAAACTGTGGAGGCCCACTTACTTTCACTGTAACCCGCTGCGCTTCCTGGGCTCAATGTCTCGTGGCAGTCAGAGGCGTGAGACTCTGTCGGCACGGTGTCTGAAAGGTTATTTCAGGGAGTGTCAGTTACCAACACGGTTCAACAAAAGCACGTAAGTGCCACTCGTAATCTCTATTTTTTTTTTTTCACATACCTGACAGAAAGGCTGAAACTTGCTTCACTGGCATCTTTCTGTTGCGTTTTAGCTCGTTTGAGTTACGCCCGGAGCCAAGAATAGTAGGCACCGCATCTTGTTTAAGCAGCTTCCTGCCATCGGCTCGGTGGTTTTCGAACTGAGACTGCTCGAAGTGATCCTAGAAGGCATTATAATAAAAGCCTGAAGTAGCCGCTCTCCCGTTCAGTCGGCGATGGTTGAGGACTTTCAAAGCGATACGCGGAGCAGAACAGTTGCTAAACGCACTCACCTCACAAAGCTTGCTTCCCGCGCCGGGCTTGAAATCTTTTCGGTTCACAACGGTTAACCATGCTTTACGTCTCGCTGTCGCGCCCTTTCCCAACGGAATGCGGAAGAGTCTTTTCCCATTCTCTGACCTGTTGGCACACCCGAACGCACAGCAAGCAGGCATTGTTGCACAAACTACACTGCGACACTTTAGATGCTTCACACGGTAGCGGTATCGCGCTTATACGTCGAGATCCAAACGCGAACCTCCGCGGCATCGGTTCTTCGTATGCCACGGGCAAAGCTACGCTTTGAATTGGATGTCATGCGGAATACTGAGGAAACCCTGAACTAAGCACGCATATCAACTCGAATCAAGGTCGTGTTGTTCGTATCTCACGGAAAACGCGCGTGCTGAGAAACGGACTTCAACGCTTCAACGTGCGCGGACCCAAGATGGTGGCGTCGAGATAACGCGATGATGATGATAGTGACCCACGTGACTGCCGCTGTCCAATGATGCCGCAGCGAACCAGAATATTGTTGGATAGAGCGACTGCATTGTCGGCAAAGTGCCAAAGAAAAGGAATGCGGTACTCTGAAAGCGTTATTTAGTGACTCTAGCGGGACATAGACAGGCATCAGGCACACCATTGGCAGGTGGCGTGTGACGTCAAGTCTGACGAGCACCGACGTCAAAGAAAAGTGGAGGAGGCGAGGAGGAAAGTCGTGAATGTGGCTTGACCGGTGTCCAAACAGACATGCGACCCACGACTACCGGACCCTTCGATTTTGACGATCTTTGCAGGAGTCGTGTGGCCTGACGATTTTTGTAGAAGCCGGTTTGAACAGGCCTTAAGAGAGGTTCATAACCGTCCGGCTACAACGCCCTGGCGTCGTAGTTGGGCGAATATGAACTACCATACCTTTTGGCTAGGTCTCTAAGCATAGAAAAAAGAAATACACAGCCAGTTTACGGCTGCCTATGTGCGTGCGCTGTTGATATTGAAACTTTACAAACCACAGGGTCGCGCTCGCTGTCGAGGCACTCCTTTTGTTTTTGGAATCATGACCACACAACTCTTTGCGGAGAGGGGGACGTTTCTTCTACTTTCTTGTGGCTTGTACATATGAGGTTTTCTTTGCCCGGAGAAAGTTTCCGCTCGTTTTCTGCCAATGTACTAGCTTTGTCGGGACGATTGATGCCGTGCAATATTTACTGTTTCTATAGATGGCAGTTTTGACGAGAGGAAACGCCCTAACTGAAGCGATCTTCAGTGAGAATCAGATCTTTCTTAGGATCCCTATCGTTTCTTCAAAACGCGTTTTGTGGAAATACCTTTCGTGGACAACTCTTTATGGACATACATTTCATGGACACACGGTTCGTCGAACCTGTACATTTCGTGGGGACAGGCCCCTGCGACGGTTTGTCGAAAACGTATTTCTTCACTAAGCCGCCAAAAGTTAGCGCTCGATTCACTAAGGCGAGCTGAACCAAACCATGCCACCCTCCTCCCTGTAATCCAGGCGAGACGCAAAAAGTTTGTAGCGAAAATAGTAGGGTTGTGTGAGACGAAACGTCTCAGGTTTTTCAATGAAACAAACACGAGAAGCCTTTCGATCAAACGTCGCATGTCGACGAAACGATCTGCAGATGAGACGTCAGTCAACAAACTGAGTGCCACCGGGCAGAAATATAGATCCGGATCCGCGTATATCCGCATCCGCAGCCTTTGACATCCCCATCCGATCCGCGATCCGCAAAAAAATTGTATAATTTTTATCCGAATCCACCCGTTTAATGCGGATATCTGTGGATATCTGTAGATGATCCGCGGATATGCAGGGCTCTAATTATAATAAATAAAAAATATTATATTCTGAAAAACATACACACACACACACACATGAAAACACGCTAAACAGAGATAATGATAAAAATAAACAAGAATAAAGTTCGGGACGAGTATCAAATGAAACGTCCTTGCTGGCCAGAGTTCATCAGGGCGTGAGGCTGAGCTTATAAACTTATTTGTTTGTCATGGCAACTGACGGCGCGCTGACGGAGGCATACCAACTGGACAAGTTTACTTTGCCTGGTACAGCTCCCGAGTTCGCTTAGCCCTGAAACATTTTAAGATTTTGATGGGGCTAAACATTGCGGAGAACTCGCAATATCTTATATGTGCTGCAAGGTGGCCCGCTGCCGATATCTTCAAAGATAGGGCGTGTTCTCTTAGGAGGTCATTGATGCATCGTCCTGACTGACCCGCATGCACTCCCGCCGGTAAATGGTATCTCGTATACCACTCCACACTCGACGTATGTATGTTGATGTTCAACAACACACTCGGCTTGTATCTGGTGATTGTTGATGAGTGGGCACAACTGCTTTAGCTTGTCACTGCTTGGACTTGATACTTAGATGCGACCAACTTTACGTTGTGAGATCTACGATTGATGTATGGCAGTAATGCTGGCCTGCGGTACTTGTCCCTTGCGTTTTGTTGTCTTCCGCTTGAAGTGGTCATGGACTTGGCAACAGTAAAACAAGATGGAACAGGGGTATCCATATGTTGAGACGCTGCACTTGAGCATAAAAACCCCCTCCTAGTGAATTTGTACGAAGCTTCTTTAAAACCTCGCTCATGGTGTTTTTCACAATTCTTCTGCTAACATTCTTGGAATAGGCCTACTCATATTCCAGCAGGCCTTTTTTGTTATCTTGGGGAGTACTTCCAGAAACTGTGATTATCATAGAACACCCGTTGGAGATCTAAAAATTGAAGGATGAATTTTACTGGTGTCTCATGGATCAACTCAAGCCCCTACCCTTCTTCTAATGAAGTGGATTGCATGCTATCAATTAATTGTGCTTCACTATCTATTGGTCGTCCTGAAAGGAAAAAAAGTGAATTATTTGCGTACCTAGAATAAGAGATACTTGTCCTATGGAAAGTGAGGTTACCTATAGAACCATCACATTGGGAAAAGATATCACACTGGACAGACGCCACGGATGACCCAATACATATCCCTTCCTGCTGGAGCTAAAGCCTGTCTTCGTAAGTGTGTTCTGATTCGAAAACTGTAGAATCGCAAAAATTTCCGACAAGGATTATACCTGGATTCAATATTAATGTTGAAAGGAGGAAATTCCATTTGCATGAATACACCCATTGACAGCTGCAAATAGTTTGTACGTGGAATAGAATGACAGAAATTTAGCGAACAGATCGTAAGGGCTCAAATGAGCCTCGATCTCAGTCTCAGGTCTGAGGAATACGAAACTTTACACCAAGAGAAGAGAGGGAGACCGTCTCAAACATAGCCGACCTTTTATTGCGGACAAAACATTTTATATAAGGGTTGATAAACTGAAAGAAGGAAAAAGGCTCTTCCACACTCACACTATTCCCGTCTGACACAAAGGGATAGAACGACTTTGGACCCTCCACAATGAGGTCACATCAGAATAATGGAACAGAAATAAAACTGTTAAAACAAAACCAGCGGGGGAAGACTTACGAATTTATATGAAAAGACATCCTGCGGTGACTTCACAGACTCCTAAAAAAGCAGGAAAAATATTCCGCGCACCATTGAAACTAGATATTAAAAAAAATTGTTTTTTCCATTGTGCTTCCAAAGTCAAAAAACAAAATATTTGCACCATTTACATATTTGGTAATCGCGTTTGATACATTTAACAATATCATGGTTGTTGACTTCCATACGGCACGAAATTATTACAATCCTGTATGTGCTTAAAAACATTCAAATACTGGTCTTTTGTTTTTGCACGTCGCTTATGTTCGCCCAGTCTATCATTAATACAACGGAGCTTTAGTCTATGTAGCACACCGAGGTAGAGGGGCTTAGAGTGATAAACCGGAAGTTCGGAAGTGGCACCCCCCCGGTTGCCGCCATATTTTACGCAAATGTGACCACTCGTCACGTGACCTCCCAAGAGCCGTGACGTCACAGGTAAGATGGCAGCGCCCAGAGCTGGTGGATGCGAGTTTGTTCGGTGCGCGGTAGCCGTGATGTGCAGCTGTTTTCCGACAACTTCGGGCTTCTTCGTGCTTGCTGACGCAGGTATAATGTGAAAATATGAAGGAATGAGACTTTGTACCGTTTTTGCGCAAGATCGCTCTGGATCATCTGGATATTAACGCCTGTGAGACAGCTTCAGCTCTGCATCGTTGTACCGGTGCTCGGATTCCGGGATGTGTCCGAGGATCGATAGAACTTTGAGTGCTTTTAACATGAAATTTTCGCATTCTCTTAGCTTTGTTTGAACGTTGAAATATCTGAGAATCTACGCGAAATGTATACGTCGCGTTAGGGCCTAAGGGAAGTTGTTTCAGCCCTCCGTCACCGAACAACCATAGCAACTTTTAGCGAGGAAGCTCCTGCGATTTTAACCTTTTGTGCTAATCCACGATTCTACATTCGATCGCTTTTCTTCCTTTTTTTTTGTGTGTGTGAGTGCGAAGTGCACCCTTATTTTCAGCTACGAGGTTGTCGTTTTATTGAGTGTGGGGAAGAATAAATCGTTGCAGGCACCTGCTTCAAAGCTATTCGACTTGCTATAAGAACAACTGTTTTGGTGCATGCATAGATTAA